CCAAAGAGCACCCTTATTGAAAAAGTCAATAGAAGCTGTAAGACAGGTATAACTCGGCTGCTTCCATTGTCTTTGCTAAAACCCATCTTTGTCAGCAGTTGATGGTGAAAGGATAATTTGTAATTAATTTGTGATCAAATATAGCTTGAGAGTCTCTTGCGCTCAGCCTTTAGGAGTGCTAGATCTGCAACCAGTGCTAGACAAAGAGCTAGAGGGAGCAGGGAGATCTGTTATATTTAGATCTGTTTAATCACTGTAGAGAGAAAGTAATCCTTGGCACTGTAGGCTAAGTTTTGAGAGGATACACATAAATTGCCAGTGAATTAAGTCTCTTATAATTGAAAAGATTAGCAGAATACTAATGTGAAGCAAGAGCACTTTCACATTAGTGAAGGTTTTCTTCTGATGCCACTATTGGTTGAACCAGCAGCCTCTTGAAAAATCAAGAATGCAGTGGCAAAGGCAGACTTCCTGTTTGGTTGGAACACACCCTAACTGAATCCCTAACGAATATCAATACCTGCCTTGAAAGAGCTGATTTTCAGATATTGAATATTTTTGCTCCTCTAAGTAATATATATTTAAGCAACAGAAATACAAATTTTATAGTGGCATAGCACGCATAGTCCAGTATCTGTTTTACTCTAAGAAGCATGTATAAAATGTTCTTGGAAATAATTTTGATTTCTAAGCAAGTTTGAGTATTCAACTACTAAAATGCATATAAAGTTTATTTTGTCATGATTTAGAGTTCAGGTTTGAATAAAACTGAGTTGGAGTTAATTTAATATTGCTGAAAACTGACTTGTTGGACTTTGATCAAATAGAAGTATTTTGCCCAGAGAAAAAATTAAAATCAAGATGTTTACCCAAGATGTCAGTAGACTTGTTTTTTTCTCTCTCTCTTCCCCTCCCTTCTCCCCCTCCCCCTCCCCCCTTTTTTATGGTTGGTTTTATCCACTGAAAAGAAGAGGAAATAGGCACTTTCTGGCTTTAGAGCACACATGGACCGTGATAGGATCAGACATCTTAGGATTCAGGTTCCAGGAAGGCTTTTCTAGTAACTTAGGGACCCTTTGAAGTCTTTAAAATGAGATTCCAAAGGCAGCAGAGCGTGGAAAGTCCTAAAGCATCATCCAGTGCTAGTTGTAAATCCTCTTGATAGAGTCAAAATAAACTCTGATATTTTGCTGCCCTTTTTTTTTCTGAACAAAATTAAATAAAATCTGTCAAAATTCATAAGTACAAACTGAAAAGGGTAAGCAAGTGGTAATAAGGAGAGACTTATTTTCTCTCAAAGATGGAGTTAACAAATTGCTGCATTATCTCCCAAGATTTGTTCAGTCACTCTCACTTTTTTTATGATCATGAATTCAAGAAGTCTGCTTTGTGTGTCCATTTAGAATATTTTACATGAACAAGATAATTTTTTTCTTGTTTTTTTTTAATAAAAAGCATATAGTTTAGGCTTGGACAAAGGATAGTAAGTGATTGTCAGAGAGAAAACTATTTATGAATAATGGCAGACAGGTTTTTTTTCTGGGTGATCTATTCTCTTGGCAGCTTCTTAATTCTTGCTTTAGTTTTTCAGTATGTGATTCTCAGTTCTCACTCTGCCCTTTAGTGTTCAGAATGAAAGCAAAGCTGTCAGGTGCAAAGTGATTTCCTCTTCTTGATGGAGATTACTGTGCTCTAATTTGCTTACCTTACTCCTGAGTTACCACCCTTATGTCCACCAGAAGGCTCTACTGCTTTCTGAAATGTGCACAGAAAAATATTCTTTGGATGCCTAACAAGGGCATCACTGTTGTAAATGGAATTCAACAAATTGCTTTCGCTGAAACTGTACATTGGACTAAGCAGTTAACTTCTAATGCATTTTGAAACAAGTGAATTATAAATACAGAGTAATTGCAATTGGTGAGTGAGGATTTGGTTCAATGTTTAATTTTGTCATGGAATTTCAGGCTATATATGTGATACACTGGCTTTTGAATTAAAATCTGAAGAAATTTTAACTCTTTATTTTTGCTTTTCCTTTCATAGGATGTGTATATATGTTCTGTAACTTGCTAGAGAAGTTTGAAATACAAAGACCCTAATTCCTCACCATCTTGGCAGTCTTATATTTATAGTCCTGACTGATGAGAGAAGCTCTGTGAATTCTGGCACTTGCTAGAATTATGATGATGATATTCTACAGACATTTCTCAATGTGAAGATTGCTCTTCACATTATTCATGTTCACAATTCATGGGCTGAAAACAAGTAGTTGACTCTGTCTGCAAAGCTGTCAATGAAGCTTCCTTTATGAAGCTAAGTTATGATAGTTAAAAATATGATTTTAATTTTTTTTCTTGTTAGTCTCACATGTTAGTGATAAAGAAGGGAAAAGGATTCATTTTATTTATTATGTAAGTGGAAAATGAGGGCAAAATAAGAAGACACTTCTTGGAGCAACACTTTTTGTACCCATTGATTAATTTGACTGCAACTTTCTAGGATTCCATCCTGAGAAACAGGTATGATTTCCCTTTTACTAACTTTCAGAAGGAGAAATTAGAGAACAAGAACATTTGAACACCCAGGTTAATACATCTTTGTAATGGTTATGATTTTTAAATCATGCTTTTCAGAGCCCCTGCGTGTAAATATCCTGTTTAGTCTTCTAACGTTAAAAATCCTGCTTAGGGAGAGTGTATTATTCCAGGTTGGGGTGTTAGTTTTGTTTTGGTTTTTCCCTTATAGAATAAATTATTTTCTTTATAGGTATTTTAGTAGAAAGTCATAAACACATCTTCAGGAAGGTTGCTCACATGCCCTTTTGAATAGAGAGTATGACAAAAAAAATGTTTCTCAGAATACTATTTGTTTTTTTTAGTTTCTCAAAAATTCCAACTTATCAGTGTTCACATTTTTCCAGTCCTCCTTGTCTATATTTTCCTATTCTACTTGTCCAACAAAAGTCATTTGGATATTATTTCCTAGTATACAATAGATAAATTACATCAAGAGACATAAACTTAAGATGGTGGGAGACTTCCCACATACTTTAGCTAAATGTAGTGGAGGCAGATCATCATAGCACACATCAGTTACCAGATAAACCATACAAGTATTGATTGTTTTTTCTCCTGCTACTTGTTGCATTTACCAGAAAAAGAATTCAAAACTGTTTCCACTGCAATGTAAATGGAAAGGTTTAACAACACTAAGTAATCTTTCTGTAATTTGTAATAGTTAATTACCATGACTAAATATTCATAAACTGTTCAGAAAAATACAGGAAAATGGATTGCCATTAGCACAAGATGATCTGATATCCTCTAATGGTTTCAGTACAGAACATTTCTTGGTGTCATTAGTGTGCTCCAGCATCCTACAGAGAACTGAGAACCTTTACTTTACTAACAAAGCTTTTACTCCAGCATCATGGAACAAAAAAAGGCAAATTTGTAATTATTCATTCCCCTGTGCTGTCATATCTTTGTGAAGTGTTTGTAAATAATAACAGAAACAACAACAAAAAAGGTACTGTTAGTATTCATTTATCTTCAGAAATTTAGAAGAAACCATTTCAATAGTCAGCATCCGGTTTCCCAGTGATTTTTATGGGAACAATATTTCACTTCAAAACTAGCCCTATGGATCTCTATTGTAGCAATGTCCTGAAACTCAATGGGAGTCTTCTTGAATATGGACCAAATAAATTATTTGGCTGCTGGCCATGTGTTTTCTTTCAGAGGAATATGGTTATTCACTACGTAATAGTGCAGGAAGAAAGGAGACATATGGAAACAAATTTTAAAAGAAACAGTAACATCAGTCAATGAGGCTTTAGCCATGCAAGTTGCCAAGCACTTAATGTAGTCATGAAGGCAAGAAATAAATTATGAAGCCCACTAGTCAGGCGCTTAGCATGCAAAAGTGCTGTTCTTACAGAAAATAATCAGTCAGCTTCAGTTGAAAGCTGAATTACACTAACAGTTATTGAAGTTTGATTTATTGATTCTTTTTGCTGCTGCTGTTACAAAAGGCACAATAATACATGCAACCTGCACGAAAACTGGTTTTAATAGCATCCTTGGAAATATATTTGTCTTTTCAGTTGGCTGTAAACACTAGACCAACATGTCTCTGCCTCCTTTTCCTTACAGTTTTGTTTTGAAATATGCAATATAATCCTATATATTTCCCTGTTGTATCTTAATAATGATATTTCAAGTGAATGTCATGTTTTTCTAAGTAAATGTTATATTTGTAATAACATGAAAGCCAAAGTGGCAAAAAAAAGTGACTGTAGAATTGATGCCTTAAAATGGAAGATAAATGCTTGTGTGAAAAACACAGATCAGTACAACAATTCTTGTACCAGTTCAAAACTTGTATTTGGTAGAGCTTTGCAAACTATTGTATGTCCATTCTCTCTAGATGAGTCATGGTTTTGGAAGAAAGGGGGAAGAATATTTTTTCAGCATCATGATCATTGTAATAATGAACTGCAGAAACTATAATAGATTTTGTTCCTGGCTTGGCAAACTATCTAAAAGATTTTGCAAGAGAGTTTACATAATTCTTTCCATTTAACTTTCTAGTATTGCATATGTTCTAATTGTTAACTCTAACACACCAAACTTCTAGGTAGTTTGTAGACTATATAAATGTGATTTAATGTTTCATAAGTATTTTATGAGCAGAGTTAGTGGTTATACATTTTCATACTTACAACCTTAATTCACTTGTTAAAATAGGCTCTCTGTTTGCTAATAGTTACCAGCTGTAACTAATACATTAGCAGATCTACAATGTAGTATTTAAAATGACGCATTTCAAAATCAATAACAAATGTCCTGCTGTAGATCTAATTGGAAAACTTGTCTTATACAATGCTCAGTATACTGTACAAAATTCTTTTGAAATTAGGATAAATCAAGGAATAGGAGAAAATTATGTATAACTTTCTAAAAACTTAGAATAGGAAAAGCAAAAATATTACTTACTGTAGTTGTTGTTTGCTTCTCTTGTCCCTTTTACTTTGCCTCGCTTATCAATCCTCATATACCACTGAGTTCGACAGAAAAGTCTTCTCACTCTTACATCCCCCCCTTCCATATAATCATAGCTTCTGGTGTGTCGCTCAGGGCTGGAACAGTTCACATTTGTAGCCATTTGCTCTGGAGTCATGTCATTGCAAGCTAAAGATATAGTGCCCATTAGAAAGATAATGTAAAAGTATGATCTGTAGAGCAAAATTGGCAGGATCCATGTCAGTATCCATTTGTGCATTATAGTGCAGTGTTCTGGGTGTTCATGAACAACATAATGAAAATTAAATCTCAAGTAGACTGTTGCTCTTAGGTCACCGACCTGCCTTCTGTCTTTACGAGTTACAGATTCACTTAAATGAGATTGTTCCCTCTTCTAGAATTCTGATCGTTATTCCTTAATAGTTAGTGGTGAAATAGAAGAGCTTCTTAAATATCTCTTCAGTCAGAATATCCTTTAAAGACACAAGTTATAAAAACCTTTGTTGTCGTGACCTTCTGTACTACTTGAATTTGCTGCTTGCACTGAAAGTAAAAGATCTGTGAGAAAAGGTGCATGTGTAAGTTTTATGCTCAATTGTTACAGATTTGCAAGGATACATATGCTACTGAAAGTTACTATACATAAATGTATGACAAGCTGAGCTGACTTTAAAAATATGCAGATGTCTATACAATAGATATCTCACACAAATTTTTACATAAACAGACATTTAAACTGATTGTAAACATAGTTCTGTCTTCAGTTTTAAGTCCTTGCAAAAATCCACTATTAATGCAGTTGAACTACTTTTTCATGCATGGTATAATTCTGCTCATTACTTCATACCTATATATTTACCTATATATTCACTATTAGCACAATTTATCACATAACTTTTCTCTAGTTCAAATTTCAACAGACCTCATAGTCTTAGCTCTGTATTTTTTTTTATTCCTACCCTTTTCAGCTTATTAATAGAAACAGTTTTCTTAATGCTTTTTTAACATCTAGCATATACAGATGAAGATAAAAGTTATTAGCCATTAGAAACTGTTAAACGTTCTTGTAAAGGACAGATAACTTACTTGTTCCTGTTGATAAGAGCTGGATACACAAGTACTCCATTTCTGTTGTCTGCTTTTTGCAACATGAGACACTCTACTGTAGCTACAAGCTTTCTCAGCTCAGAAAGACTCCACCAGAATTATAATTGTTTCCATAAATCAACACGCTGGAGCGATGGTGTGTATGTGCTTATGCGTGCGCGTGCATGTGTGTGTTGAGCCTGTTGTTCAGTCCTTTTCGATAAATACCTTTGCTGACCTCACTTGGAAGCAATTAGAATTTAACCAGTCAGCTGTCAGTTGAATGCACGAACAAAAATAAAAGGAGACTCGCATTGTATCGTGTCCAGTGGTCATCAGAGGGAGCTATGTACATAGTTTATACTTTAAATCTCCAAGAATCTACTTTCTAAAAACATATATTCTGTGGTATGTGGATAGAATTGCTTCACATACTAGCTAGTGTTTCTGTGCTTGGTTTAGGTCAATAGTTATCTGTCCTTAAGAAATTCCTCCTTCCTCTCTTTTGTACTCACACATTTATCTCCGTTTGCTTTCAGATCTCTGCCACAGTTCAGTGGATTCATAGTCTGCTTAGTGCCTTTCTGATGGATATGAAACATGTGGGTCCATTATGTACTGTGGAAAAGGGTGTGCTGGGGCAATTTATAGATCATACAATATATCTTTATATCATGAGATTTCTATTTCATCAACCACTAGGTGAAAATGAGAATGTATGTTTGGATGTTCAAAGACCTGTTCAAACACAGTCTTTATCAACATGAAAGAAAAATTACTTCTACATAAAAGCCTAGTTCCCTAGAAGTGGCCACAATGCAAGAAAAACTCATGCTGCTTATCAGCCAGTGGCTGAGCAGCAGACTTAAAATACAGAGAATCAAAATAATGGGTAGATATTCCTGATTTTCTGCTTCTGTACACTTATTTCTATCTTTGGTACCAGTGTGCTACCCAAAGTCTGTGTTCCATTTCACCCTTAAATTCTGTTGAATTTCCAGTGAATGTATTTATAAAACACAATGGAGCTAATTTGTCAGTACCTCCTTAACCTGTTTGTTTCCCACATTGTTGATGTGCATACACCTCAGACCCTTTTGTAAATAATAGCAACAAGGAAAGTTTGGAATTAACCCACATATTAAGGTTTGCTTACCTTTAGTAGTCTGTGCTTGATAATATAATGCAGTTTATCATTCCCTGCGTTTATTCCCTTACTCCTTCCTTTGTGTAAAAATTGATGTAAAAATGAAGTAAACTGTAGACAGTTAAAAATCATAGGGAGTACATATGTGCCACCTTGTGGTGACGGGGGCATAGGTGAATTGGGCTTTTTCACAGGAAGGATCCAAAATGAGCATAAAGGTGTATGGCACCAGGCAACCTTTTATTACTCACCTTTTCTTAAACACAGAATGTGTCATGTCCTTCCTTAACATTCTCAACTTCATTCTCAGCTCTCACTTGGATTAGTCCCATTTGTTACTCACTTTGCATTCTTCTTTTAACTATTTTCACTCAAAGTCCAAAGTTGTTCAACTTTTCTTGTAATTGTCTCTATTTCAGCATATTGGGCTGTTCCCATAATCTGTGGCTCAGACTAGTTTTCCTAGCTCAGCAAAAGGCTCAGTACTCGCACCTTCCTGATATGGAAGGTATAGCACTTCAGCTTTCAAAGGCTGCAGTAGCCACACAGAGAAGCGGCTTTTATGAAGTTAACTCTTGTAAACTGTGATTCCAGCTATTTCCAGTTTGACTTGTATCTTGTCAACCCATGACCACTATCCTGACAAGAAGTGGGTACTAAAGTGTTTTATCCCAGTTGTGGGTTTTGCCAGTACATGTACTGGCTTTATTTCAGTATGTTCTCTGATCCATTCCACTGTCAGAATTCAGAATGATAGCAATGAAAAAAATTCTTGGTATTCAAAAGGCTTATCTGTTGTATATTGTAAAGAAAGCAACCAAGGAAGAAAAGTGATCTGTGTTTTACTCAGCAAAGTGGGATGCAGGTAGAAATGTTACTGTAAATATTCTGGGTCTTTTATGTGCAGTACCAACTTTCACTTTCAGTCCATACTGGTTTTAATTTTTCTTTTTCATTGCTAACTTATTGTTTCTGATGGTTAGTAAAAGGGGAAAAAATACATACCTGAGGTTTTGGTTCCAGAAAGCTGGAGCTACTCGTGGTAGAGAAAAGAAAAAAATGGAAATTAATTGCAAGCACTTTTCTTCCAGTTACGAAGATTATGCATAGGCCTCCAGTTCAAATAGAAACAGCTCAATAAAGTTTGTTGCCTTTTCCCTCACATAGGAAATTACTTTTTGTCCTTTTAGATGAAAACAGGACTATAGGGATCCATGCGTTCCTCATCTCAAGGCAGGCCTGTTGAGATAGGTACAGTCCAGGTTTGGCATTGGGTCATGAATGCAACTTTAAAAAAAACCCCAACAAACATTTTGTCCAGCTTTCCCTCAGGGCAACACATACCTGCTAAGAAACTCATTCTGTTGCTCCTTGTTCCCTGACCCAATTCAAATTTGCTTTAGAACATCTTTCAGAACTTTCAGAATTTAAGACAGTAGGAAGATAAAACTCTCTGTATTGGACCTTAAACCTGAGATGTTGGGTTTTAGTGCCCCGTGGCAATAGCTAAAATGGGATTGGAATGTCCTATGGAAAAAATTCCGCAGATGTGACGGTGCTAAATGTTCCCATGGTTAAATCCTTACCCTTAGTTCACTGATCTCGGAAATCAGGCTTAGATCAAGGTCGATCTTTGCTGCATGCAAAAGATACAAAACAGTGCTACTGCTTGTGCATTTCTTCTGTCAACATTGATCTGTGAAAAACACTGCAACACATGTCCAAAATAAACTCATCTAACAAGGCGGTAAAAACGAGAGATGAATAATGTGACACTTCGGTTCAGGTTTGTCATTTCAGGTTGTAAACTTAAAAGTAAATTTCAGATTTAAAAAGTGTAGTTATGACTCCTTTGTCTGCCTGGCTATAAGAATGTCTTTCTGGTTTTGGTAACTGGTTATGGGTTATTAAAATCATATTGAATAGACAAAAATAAGTTTTTCCTTGCAATTTTCAAAGCAGATCCCTGAAACATCATTCATTTCTTTGTTTCCTCCTATTCATCCAGATCATATTGAGCTGATTTAAATCTACAGGAAAATTGGAATGGGATACAATAGATACTAAAAAAAAAAAAAAAACCAAGAAAAAACCCACTAAACTATCAAATAGTTGCCATCTATGTAGCAGCTTCCTATTTTTTGTTAGTTAGTGATAGCAAATGTGTTTTATGTAGCTTATTTTAGGGTAAACAAAGGCTGATAATACTGTAGCTCAGTCAGTAAGACTTAAAAGGTTAAAGCCATGCAGGCTTTTTCATGAGGACAATGGAGTATCATGATAGTGATTTTTGAAGAAGTTAGAATAAAAAAAGAATGCAGGGGCTGTCGGACGAATCCTTCCTTTCAGAATGGAGCTTGTACAGTGTGGTGCTATGATAAGTGTCCTTATTTTTCATAGTTTGATAACCCTCAACTTCAGGTAATCCTGTCTGTGGTGATATTGGGACTCAGACTGTGGTTATCCTAAGATGCCACAGAGCTGAATTGTAACAGTGCATTTTTGGTGGAGATTAAAAAAAAAACCACAAAAAACCAAAACCAAACCAAAAACCCAGAACCCAAATGTGCAGCATCTTTTTATACACACAGATGGTTGGATCAGTATCAGCTTTAAGACCTAGATCTGTGAAACTTTGCTGAAGTATTTTCTAAAAAACTTGCAGAAAACTATGACTTTCCATGTAATCATTAAATTTTACATTAGTAGCAATAAATATAAAATAAGGCATTCATATTTAGTTTCTAATTCAGAGTGTAGCTATATATAGGTACGAATATGGCATGTAATTTGCATAATCAAATCTTGAATGATTTATGTTTTTTTTTCTTTTAAGTTAGCCACTTTTAACCCTTCACCTAGGTCCATATAAAGCATAACTATAAGTGTAACTTGGTGGCTAACCATTTTATGGACCACATAAAAAAAATTTACTAATAACTTCTAAATCAAGAATTAAGCTTTATTTCCATGAAAATATGTATCAGTTATTACCATGCCTGTCTGCTGTTCTTTTAATCCTAGAAGACTGTTTCAGTTTTTTCTAATGGGAGTCCACCTGAAGGCAGATTTTGGAGGATAGATTTCAGCTTTTTTGTTAATTGTTTTGAAATCTTGTTAAACAAATGTTGATTGAGAATGAAAATATATTCTCTTATTCAAATATTTGTTTATATCTCTAATTAAAACCTAGTCATGGAAAATAGCTAGACTATGCAAATTATATGGTCCCTCTTTGACCTGCAGTACAAGTTGCACTCTTTGATTAATCCACAATAAAGCTGAAATTATTAGTAGGCTTCCAGTAGCTACCTGTTGGCATCTAGTTAAATGGCTGTGCACAAAGGACTGCATTTTCTGATACAAAGATGCTACCAGTTAAAGTAAGAAATAAAAAACTGTTCAAAGGATTAGTAAAAAAGTACAGCAAGTATAATGGCACATGGCTCAGCATCTTATATAGATATAGACCTGTACATGATGAAAGGACTTGGAGTATAACCTAGTAGCAGGTAACCTTACATATGTCTGTGTAAGGTAGTCTGTGACTCATTTGAGAGTGAGCTGGGTGGGCAAAGAGATAGCAATTGCTCAGAATTTGGGGGAAAATATTTTGGTTGGAAGTGCAGTAGGATTTCATGAGAAGGTTGGGATTGAGCACTCCCAGGAATGTGCAGAGGAAGAGAAAAGCCAGCACAAAAGGGAGAAAGTTCAGAAAGGGAATGGGGAAAATGTGAGGAAAGGACAGGGACCTCAGTATGGAGGTTGTGAGTCAGTAGACAAGAAAAAAAAACCAGGAACATTTCCAAAATCCTTAAGTGAAATGAAGCTTTGCAGAAAAGCAGTTTCTTCAGCTGCCCTTGGGCCTACATTTCAGATCTTTTGCCATGGCCCCAAATGTTACGTGCCTCTGTCTACTTACAGCCGCTTTCTACAGCTGTGAGTTTCTCCAGTTAAACAGGTGTGGTAGATCCAATACATACTGCCCCTATTGCATACTCTCGGTGTAAAAATGCTCCTGTGGTGGAATTTGAAAAATCTAAGCTCACATGTATGTATGCTCTATGTTGAAAATTTATTAATGCTGTGATGTAAAATACTCCAACAGCACAAAATGCAAGTTTTCAATCTCATGCATTACATCAGGGAGGGAACTTGTGAAGAAAACAATGATGGCAAAAATCAGTCTATGCATACTCAGACACAACCAAACCAGTGTTACCAAAGTAAGCTTTTGGCATTGCCATCTACTTCAACAAGTCCAGGATTTCATGTGAGCTTTAGCATGAATTTCTTCTTTATGATTCTGTTATTTGCAAGTAGTTTAGGTCTTGAGATTTACCTAGACGTTTTTTCAGTGACTGGCTCTTTTCTATATAAATAGGCATTAAAGCAGGTTGGTATAGGCAGTACAAACAAATATAAAAGAACAAAACATAAGACTTGAAGTGGCAGAAATGCTATTGGATTTCTACTGTTTACTTAATACTTGTTTTTAGGAAGCAGCTGGAGTAAGACCTTTCCTAACCTTCAGCTAATTGTATGGTCTACTATTACACATGTTCTAAAAGCAAAATAACAGGGAAATCCCATCCAAAGCTGTGCAGTTTTCAGAGAGTTAAAAATTCACCAGCAGATTCAGAAAAAGAGCAATTCTCTGTAATGACTGCATTATTTGTTACCCATCTGTCAGAGACAGAGACACCACTTAGACACAAAGGTGTAAGGTTTTCCAGCTGTTTACTATTTGAATTATAGATAAGCATTTGCTGAACTGAGGAAATCCAGTAAAAGTGTGTCTTTACTGAGAATCTTCATTAGTAATTGGTTTGCAGAATGAGCTCCACCATATTTCCTCACTTACTGGTAATGAAGTCCATGATCTAATAAATGTGTGTGAATTCAAGCCAGAATAATAATTTGGTAATCTAGTAAGGGTGTGAAAGGAGGAGGTAAATGCTAGGGATCTGAGTGCATATCAAGTGCATGGTTAGAACAAGCATGTCGGCATTATTCCTGAGGTACCTAGTGTGAGCA